CATTTCTTATTTTGTCTAACAGAGAAAGTTTACATCTTAGCCAGAACATCATTTCTGTTGATTGAAATTTGTCTTTCAATTTTTTGATAGTCTCCAGACTTCTGCCCCGTAGAGTGTGATACTCTCTATGAATGACCTATATATGCGGTACGGAATATTATTTTCTATAAAATGTATACTTCATTTTATAAACCGGTGTATTGATGTCATACATTTGCTTCGATTTACCGGAATTCTGCTTTCATATATCGTTACATTAATATCCAAATCATACCTTAATTACCAACTTTAAAATTGCTTCGAAACGCGATTTTCACTTCGAGATGTCAACAATGCACTATTTTATGGGAAGTTTGTTTCATATATCGGTATGCTGACACGGAAAATTATTTTCTATATAATGTAAATCTTCTTTTATAACCGGATAGACTGCTTAAAGATGAGAACGGTGTAGTTTTTACATCGGAACTTTTTTTCAGGTGCCGACATTCTGATAAGGAAAATTATTTTCTACATATGTATTTCTATGTATACTTTATTTTATAAACCGGTGTATTGATATTAAACATTTGTTTTGATTGACCAAAATTTTCCTTTCATTTAACTTTACACTAATATCTCAAAATTACTGTAGTTTCCAATTATAAAATTATTTAGAGACACTACTTTCACATTAGGACGACAACAATGCAATTTTGTTTTCAAATTCCGAGGTGCTGATACGGAAATTTTTTTTCTATACAATGTAAAGTTTCTTTTATAAAGCAATATATTGATACCAAACATTTTTTGGAATTATGGGAATTTGGGTTTCATATAACGTTAATATCTAAATAACCTAATATCTAAACATAACATCTAATCTAATAACATTAATATCTAAAAATTACCATAATTACCAAATTTAAAATTGCTTCGAAATACTATTTTTACTTTGGAATGACAACTATTCCATTTTTTCAAATACTGGAAATTTTCTTTGATATATTAAGAGATTAATTCGAAAATTATTTTCTTTACAATGAATATTTTCTTTTATAAACTAAACTAAAACTAAACTGATTTTAGCAGTATTTTTCTTTCATACAAAGGTATATTAATATTGAAAAAAATCTTAACATTTTACCAATCTTACCAAAATTTCTAAAGTTTTAAAATTCTTTCGAAATCCCACTTTCGTTTTGGGGTGACAATTGTTTTTCAAATTAGGGGAATTTTTCTTCATAAACCGGTACATTCTGAAAATGTTTTCCAATATAGTTAGTGAGCCACTATGAAGGCTCTGTTCCTGCTTGCACAAGAAGATGAAAATCGCCTCTTCATGAAAAAATATGTGACAATAAACCATGTAAAATCAAATTGATCAAATTTAGAAAATAATGTGTACTTCAAAACATAAAATAAAGTATGCTCTTATCTACACTACCAGATGCAGAAGTTACTCAAAGGCCTACCATAAATGACCATGAGAAAGAGAAAGTAAATAAACGTCAGGTTTTCACGAGTTGGTCCCACTGTTCCCCACGTGGACGTTGAGCGAATCCGGGGATTCCCTTGTCGCAATTATCGTAAGACCCGGCGCTGCCAACCGTCGTAGCCAGTTTCGCCCAGTCAGCGACTTCGTCGCGCATTTGCGGAGTTTCAAGCGAATTGGACGACGGGAGGAACGCAGTGCGACAAAGGATTATTAAAAGGATTTCAAAAAGCGAACCTGACAACTTGATCACTACGAGTTCCTGCAAAGCGCTTCTTGCAGCTTCAACCGCTTTGAAGCGTCCTGTCGTAAAAAATTCGATAAAAATGTTAATATTTGTTCATACAGAGCTATGTCTTACTTTCTATTTATCGTTTATTTTAAAACCGTGTCATGAAAAACGTTAGTGAAGGACATGTAACTCTTATATCATATTACGTATAACATAAATTGTAACTTTTGGAAAAATATATTGAGGAAATAGAACGTAAGGCTTAAGGCATTAAGGGTAGATTTTTTGTCTTCACGTGTATGTTCACAAAAACTTTGATTGCAAATTTAAAAAAAAAGTTAATAAATCATGCCCCACACAAATAATACTACATAGAAGTAGACAAATAATAAATTATGAACCCAGTGTTGCTAACCACCTCAGCTAGTTATCGATGGTTAGTAATTCCAAGTTACTACAATGTACATTACCTCTGTACAACAAAACACGAATAATATTAGTATAATTAATATATTATTATTATTATTACTATTATTATTATTATTATTATTAATTGTTTAAATGCCTTTCTCCAAATACTTCATTAGTCTCGATGGCATTAACGTATTGTGTACTTCAAATATCGGTGAAGCATCAAGAAATTTCTATTATTGGATATGTTCTTAGTTTCAAACTACATTTGCCCAGTTTTTTATTTCATCGACTAGTATTTGCATAAAAACGGTCAGAAGTACACCGTGCGTTTTCTTATTTGTTTTACTCCTGTACCGGCTGCAAACCGGAAGAGAAATCGCGAACACACCATACCCCTCCTCTCGCGCGCCCCGTCCGCCTCCATCTGCACATGCCGCACTCCCAGGCGCATTGACAGGCCGCGCGCCTGCCAGCCGGATCATTCTTTTCCCGGCAGCCTAATCACGTTGCCCGACAGCAAGCGGCCCGGGCGCGGCTTACTAATATCCACCTCTTTCTCGGCGCTCACCCGTTTGCAGCGCGCGCCGTATTAAAACACTCGGCCGCCGCCCGGCCGCACCGCTTTGCGGTTGCCGCCCCGGCCCTGGCAGGGATTGCAGCGCGCGCGCAGCTGGAGTGGAGCGGTAGGTAATTCCACGTAATTGGCTTAGATTGGCTAAGTTTCCACCGCCACCCCCGAGCCTCCCCCCCGCGCCGCTTTCGTCATCACGGCCCCCTCTGCCGAGACCCATCTTCCCATACCCGCACCCACTTCTAACTGCCTACCGGCCAGTCCTCTCATTGCACCACCAGCCACTCGTCTCCACTGCACATACCCTTCGCTTAAAAGATCAGAAACATAGAATGTAGATTACTTACTACGGCAAACTTTTGCTCAGGTGCCGGCATACTGAAAGAATATCTATCTAATCTACTTTAGCGATTTCTTCTACCAGCATTGGCCGCTTTTCCGCTTTCCCCAATTTTCCATCACCTGCTCCTCTACCAAACATCGTTTTTCTTCCTTTCCTCTTTTTCATCGCTTTCAAGTTATTGCCACTGTTCCATGTTCTTCTCGGCTCTTCCCCTCGTACTCCTTCCGATTGGTATCCACTTCCAATGTTTGAGGAAAGTCTACTACGATTTTCAACCTTCTCGAATATGTCATCACATTTTTATGTAGACCCATTTGAATCGTACTCGTTTCGGAAGGTTGTTTGGACACTTTCATTTCATTCTCTTATTTGTCTCAACGAGAAAGTTTAAGCATCATTAAGAGCCAGAAATCATTTCTGTTTGATTGGAAAATTTTTGTCTTTAATTTGATAGTCTGCCAGACTTCTGCCCCGTAGAGTGTGATTACTCTCTATAATGACCTATATATGCGGTACGGAAATATATTTTCTATAAATCCGTATACTCACCATTTTGTACCCGGTGTATTGATGTCAATACCTTTGCTTCGATTTACGGACATTCTGCTTTCAATATAACCCCCCCCCCCCCCCCCCCCCCACTCGTTACCATTAATAATCCAACATTCATACTTAATTACCACTTAAATTGCTTCGAACCGCGATTTCACTTCGAGAACTGTCCACACAATGCCTACTTTTATCGGGAAAGTTGTTTCATATATCGGAATGCTGAACGGAAAATTATTTTCTATATAATGTAAATCTCTTTTATAACGGATGAACTGCATTAAACGATGAGAACGGTGTAGTTTCATTAACATCGGAACTCTTTTTTTCAGGTGCCGACATCTGATAAGGAAAATTATATCATACATATGTAATTCTACTGTACTTACTTTTAATAACGGATGTATTGGATATTAACACCATCTTCTTCTTCGACATTGACCCAATTTTCCTTTCATTTAACTACACTAATATCCTCAAAATTACCTGTAGTTGTTCAAATATAAAAACTTATTCTAAGAGAACACACTACTTTACACTTAGGACACGACAACATGCCAATTTTGTTTTCAAAAAATTCCGAGGTGCTGATAACGCGAAATTAATTTTTTCTATACAATAGTAAGCTGTTTATTATATACACAATATCAGTTCCGAGTACCGAAACACTTTTTTGGAATTTACTGGGAATTTGTTTCCATATATCACAGTATAATTTATTCTTAAATACGTACTACTATGCTAAACATAACATTGCTAATCTATAGAATTAATATCTAAAAATTCAGCCATAATTCAAATTTAAAATTGCTGTCGAAAAATACATATTTTTACTTTGGAATGAAAACTTTCCATTTTCTTTCAAAATACTGGAAAATTTCTGAATATATTAAGAGATTAATTGACATCTATATATATTCTATTACAATGATAAATTTATCTTATATAACTTAAACTAAAAGATCAAAACTGACTTTTAGCAGTATTTTACTTTCATACAAGGTAATATTAATATTGAAAAAATCTTAAACAATTTTACCAATCTCAAAATTCTAAGTCTTTAAAATTCTTCGAAATCCCAGTTTCGTTTTGGGTGGAACAATTGTTTTCAAATTAAGGGGAATTTCTTCTTCATATAACTCCACGAGATACTCGGAATGTTTTCCAATATAGTTAGCTTGAGCCCACGTATGGAAGGCTCTGTTCCTGCTATGACAAGAAGATGAAAAATCGCCCTATATATCACATCGCAAAAACTCATGTGAAACAATTAAACCATGTAAAATCAAATTGATATACAAGATTTGAGAAGAATAATGTGTCCTTCAAAACATTAAAAATAAAGGATATGATATATAAACACACCTCCAGATGCGAAGTTACTAAAGAGCCTACCCAAATGATCGATGAGAAAGAGAAAAAAGTAATGTAAAACGTACCAGCGTCTCTCACGAGTTTGGTTCCGACTGTTCAACGTCGGACGTTGAGCGAATACCGGGATTCCTTGTCGGCAATTATCGTAAGACCCGGCGCTGCAACCGTCGTAGCAAGTTTCGCCCAGGACTTCGTAGCGCATTTGCGGAGTTTCAAGCGAATTGGACGACGGGAGGAACGCAGTTGCGACAAAGGATTATTAAAAGGCAGTTCAAAAAGCCGAACTACACTTGATCACCTACGAGTTCTGGCAGAAGCGCTTCTTGCAGCTTCAACCGCTTTGAAGCGTCCTGTCCGTGAAAGAGATGTCGATAAAACATGTTAAATTTGGTTCATCACAGCGCGGACTGGCGGCGGGACGGGCCCGGGCACGAGGTCAGCTATGTCTTCGCTTCTATTATACGTCTTATTTTAAAAAGCATGTCATGAAAAAGTTAGTGAACGGGACTATGTATGAGCGTCGCGTACTCTGCCATATTAATGTAAACATAGGAATGTTATCAATGTTGCTTGGGCAAATATCATTGGGAAGGAAGGAATATGAACCGTAAGGCTTGAAGGCGATTAGAAGGGAAGGATTTTTTGTCTTCACGTGATGTTCACAAAACTTGGATTGCCCCAAATTTTAGAAAAGGAATTGTTAGTAACTCATGCCCACACAAATATAAGTAACAAATAATAAATTATGAAACCCAGTGTTGCTAACCACGCTGCGCGGTGGTGTACGCAGCTACGGCCGTGAATGCGGCTAGGACTCGACGTAGACGACAAATGAGGGGGATGCACTATCGCTGCATCGTAACACACGTTCATGCGCAAAAGCATCATGCTCGAAGTGCAGACTCACTGAAATATTACATGATATTCCAGTTGCAAGATTATTAGCTATATATTCCCAGTGCCATTATTCACTTAATCGCTACCAGACCCCCTTTGCACTCATAATCTGTTTAAATGCTCTTGCACTAACCTAAATACGCGCTCAATCTAGTCTCATCCTCTGGGTATGCATTTAGAGATGAACTCATAGATATCCTCTGTGGCACTACCACAATGAGCAGAGCAGTTACTATATCTGGGCTAGTCAAGCTCGTGTGATGTACACCTCATATGCTAAACTACTGTGTGACCCTCGTTTTTTATTTCATAGCGACTGAGGAGTATATCTATATGTTGTCTGCTATGACTATAAAGCGTACAAAAGAAAGCAACACGTTTTCAGTGCGTTTTCTATTGTATCTGTTCACTGATAAATAGACGCTAAACGTCTAGAACTTTTCCATATGCGTTTTTGACGGGATGTATTGATATCGAGAGCGAACTATCCAGCCCATGCCGCACTACGTCCTCTCTCTAAGAAGCACCATTACAATCAGTCAGGCCGCGTCGTCTTCACCTGACCATTTTACGAAACTGACCTACATGTCTGCATATATGATCTCATTCAGAGGACGAGCACATTAATCTAGTGTTGCCGCGAGCTGAAAACTACAAACAGACAAGACAGCACGGACTGGCGGAGGCTTACAAGAACTCGAGGGCTTGAGAGGCACTAGCCAACGCTTAATACATAAATCCGTCTCAATCTCTTAAGCGTCCGTTGTCCTACAGATGAGGCAAAGGACTAAACCTTCATAGAGAGATATATTTAAACACTACCGCTGCAGACAACTCTTACGGCCTCTATAGGTTCCACATGTCTGCCGCGTTACCATCGTTACACTCTATGCTCCTTTCAAACTTATAGTCCCTCTATTATCGTCACTACCCCCTGCTTGAGACCCGTTTCCCCGTCTGATAGAAATTAACACAGATTCAGGACTAAATCTCACACTACAGTACACACGAGACTAAATATAGGCAACTACCCATCCCTCATTGCTTCTCGTCGGATTCCTTTTACAAAATTGGTCTATCCCGGGTCACTGCTGCGTTCAAGGCCTATTCTCACACTCAGGTAAACGCGATGTTCGACGCCAAATTCTCTCGCAACTAAAGACACCGCGGTACCTGAGAACCAATATCGATCTTCGAGTCTGCCTGGGATCCACTCTATTTCTCCGTTCACCGCAATTGACCACAGATAATAATCGCTCGTGAGGAGGAGGTTAACACGTCTTTAACTATTAAATAATTATTTTAATGTTTTAACACCTGAATACTCTCTGGATTCCACTTGTTGAAGCAAAATTGATTATATAGTTTCACGATGCTCCATTTTCCCCGGCCTCCAGCCACCTACCGGTATCTCGAATAAGAGCTCTCCAACTCTCGAAAGTCGGATGCAGCACAAAATAGTCTTGAGATGTTTAATTATTATTACCGGAGCTTCATCTGTTCTACATTGAAGATTTTATTTGATGACGCTCTGATGTCTTCAAGTTCTCGTGTATACCATGGTCATGAAAACTCGTATTCGTTTTGAATGTCTAAGTCGGTCGAACCTTAACGTACTGCAAATTCTTCTGAGTAATGTTTTCTCTTGCAGATTCCCGCTCTCGCCCAATTTCCGCGCAATATAAGCTCGTCCCGCCCTTCGGTCCAAAAACCCATCAGGACATCGCAGTCTATAATCGCATCTGAAACACTAGTTTTTTCGTCGACACATCGGCCACCTCGCCTCGCCACCTCTGCCCTCGCCACACTCGCCTGCCCACCACGCCTCGCCATTCCTACCACCTCGCATCCCCACCTCGCCTCGCCACCCCTCGCCGCACTGCACTCGGCCACCGTCGCCTCGCCACCTCGCCTCACCACCCCGCCTCGCCACCCGCTCTCGCCCGCCACGCCACCTGCCGCCGCCCGCGAGGCGTGAGACGGGAAGGTAGGTACGAGCAGCCAAAGAGACGCCATCCTTCGAAGTTGGAGTAGGCGAGTGTTAGCGAGGGAATAGGGCGCTGAGCTTGTTCGGCGGACTCCTGGCGAGGACGGGGCACGAGTTGGGACGGGGAAGTAATGGCAACACGCATGGTAGAAGAGTGGGGTGGTGAGGCAAGCGGTGTATGCCGAGGCGGTAGGCGGAGATGGTGTGATACCCGCGGCGAGTCACGGCGGTGAGGCAGTGGCGCTTCCGAAAGAAATCCAACTGAATGAATCCGGTCTCTTCTTCCTCACTACACATCATAGTCTGGCACGACTCGTCAACGCAGTTTCAGTTAGCTCCAGGCTCGCCACCGCACTCACTGCGTTTGTTCCCCCGTCAGGCTGAAATAGCCCTATACCTCGATGATGATATCGATATGTCGGGTGTTGGTGAAGTACAGAGTGTGAAAAACTAACGGCAGAGGATACATGCAAGAGAAGGGAAACTGAGCGGCGGTTCGTGGTTCGTTTGTTAGAACGTGCTCCGGCATTCACACAGCCCTTCTCGACCCACGGCGCTTGTCCGTCGCGTTCCCCGCCCCACTCCGCACCGCATGCCGCTCACAGCCACCCGCTGCCTCGGCAGTCGCCTCTTCGCCAGACCCGAGTAGACCGAGCCGGCGTTTCTTTTGTGGGTTCAGCCCAGGCCGGAGCGGGCGAGCACTCGGCAACAAGCGGCGGGGAGGCGGCGCGGAGGCGAGCCGGCAGCGCTGCAAACAGAACTCCCGCAATTCCCATTAAGAAGCGCCGGACGCGCGCACAAATATTTCCCCGCGCGAACAAGCCCTTTAATTGTTCTTGGTCTCCTGTTTACACGCCCCCGCACCTCCTTCTAACCCCACGCCGTCGCCACAGCCGCGCGCCGCTGCCTACCGCCTGTACCCTCCTACCCCGTCCATCAACGCCCAGCAACCCTCCCGACCGAAACCGCCTCCTACATAATTCGAACCTATCCCCTCTCCTCCAGAACCTCCCCAGTCCTCACCGTCGCCACCGGCTCTTTCCGTTACCACCGCCTAGGTATTCCACCCAGGCCCATCCTCAACCCGCGTGCACCAAGATCACGACCCGCGTCTATTCTAATCTCGACTCCGTCCTCCCCTCGCTCCCCACCATCACCGGTACTCTCTCGCCCGCCTCGCACTAAACCTCAAGTCCTGCCCCTGTCTCTAACAGCTGACGCACAGTCTGTGGCCGCGTAGACTCGACGGCATCCCTCCTCTCACCGGCACTTCCGCCCCCCTCTGCTTCACCCGCCGCTCTCGCCCCCGACCTCATCTTTCGCGCCGGCCGTCCCCGCCTATCCTTTCCACCGCCCGAACCGCTCGAACCCCGCTCCCGCAGACTCACCGCCGCAGTCGTATTCATACCGCGACCCGTGCCTCCCCTCTGTCTCTCGCTTCATCCCCCCTGCCATCCGCTCTACACACACTCAACACTGCCGATCCAGCGCTCACCTCGCCACTCACCCCCTCACTCTGCCCAATCCATTCGCTCCCTCCTCCCCTGTCCCTTGCCGCGTATTAGGCATGCCGCATCCTTCACTCCACCTCCGGCCCCACTCCTGACGCTCCCACCCCCCATCCCTGGCTCCGACCCTTAACCTCGCCACATCTCCTGTCCACGTCGCTCGCCCCGGTTCAGCTTCATCTCCCGCCCTACCCGACTCTCTCGTAT